TGGTGGTCCCTCAGTTGATCTAACTTTATTTTGAAAGAATTGACGGATGGAGCCTCAACCACGTACTGAGGTAATGAGTTCCACTCGTTGATGATTCGATGGGAAAGTCGATAGTCAGTTGACAAGTAATTTGTCCTTGACTTGTGAACTTTTTTGGAGTGTTCTCGTAAATTCTCTGTTTTGGAAGACAAGAAAAGTGAGGGCATATCAGGCGCAAATTCGGCACTAAGCAATTTGAAAACTGTAATCAAGTCGCCTCTAGTTCTGCGATATGACAACGGGAAAAGGTTCAGCTTGGCCAGTCGAGCTTCATACGGAAGCTTCGCTATTCCGGGAATCAGCTTAGTTGCCGTTCTCTGAACCTTTTCCAGAAGCTCACTGTCTTTTTTAAACAGGGGATAGCCGCTTGTATGCAGTACTCAAGTTTAGGACGTGCGAACACTGTATACAGAGTCGAAAACGTCTTAGCGTCGACATGACTAAAAGCCCTATGTATTGACCATAACTTTATAAAACCCTTTGCTGCTATTGCACGGCAGTGTACAGTAGTCGTAGAATTATGGTCTACTATGAGATTAGTACTGCTCTAATAATAGACTCAATCCTATAATTGTAGATTTGTCATGATATAACTGCCTAATCTATAAGATCTTACGTGGAAGTCACACCATCGACTACACCAACTCACTGTATCGTATCAATTACCAATACATGATGTAGAACAAGGTTAGGCTAGAGAAGGAACAATATATTTAATATAAATAGAAGATACAAGGGACCACATCTGCATGGCCGTGCCATGCCATCCGATCAACTCCAATTCAACTCCCCATTCGCGCCTTCTCCATCGTAAGGTATCTCTCCGCGTCAAATATTGAATCTCTATTTTCTGAAAAGTCTTGTGTTCAGCTTTGAAGATTGTATGGTTACGGTCCAATGCCACTACATAGTCTTTAAGTCTTCGCTAACGATGACTCCTAAGTCATTATATGTCTGGACGACAGGTAGCTCGGTGTTATTCATCGTGTATGTATCTGTACCTTGATGACCGATATGCATCACAACACACTTGGAGGTATTTATCGGCAACTGCCAGGTTTCAGACCATTCAGATAATTTCTTCAGATCATCTCGGAGTTCTAAGCTTTCACCCTCACATCATATCGTTCTCCATATCTTGACGTCGTCAGCATATAGCAAGACTGATGATGATAGGAGACGAGGAAGGTCATTTACATACAAGAGGAATAGCACTGGTCCCAAAACTGTACCCTGGGGCACTCCACTAAGCACAGTTCCCCAGCCAGATAACTTTCAGTTCACCCGTACTCTTTGTTGACGCCCAACTAAGAAATCTTTTATCCACATAAATAGATTGCCTCCAATCTCAATATTTCTTAACTTATATAACAGCCGGTTGTGTGGAACCTTGTCAAAAGCTTTGCCGAAATCAACGAACGCTACGTCTACAGGTAACTTTTGGTCCTTAAGAGCGTACCAGCTTTCACGAGCCACTAATAAGTTAGTGAGACAAGAATAACTGATTTTGAAAACGTGCTGCTTCTCCGAAACGATCCATTTTTTATCGAGATACTTCAACAGCTCTTTCCGAATAATCTTTTCTAAGATTTTAACAACCACACTAGTTAGGCTAACGGGGCGGTAATCCTCAAGTTTTGTGTTTCGTACCTGTTTTGAAGACAGGACTTACTATGGCGTTTTTCCAGTCTTTTGGTAAACGACCCTGCGTAACGGATAGGTTGAAGCATATACTTAAAGGGTTCGCAACAAAGTTAGATAATTCCTTCAGTAGTCTAGTATGTAATTCACCGGGCCACGTGGATTTACCTATGTCAAGCTTATTTAGTAGACCAAAGACATCGAGTTCTTTAATGGTCACGCTATCCAGTGTATGTGTGAGGGGATCTGTATGAGCTGATGTGAAGGGTGCTTCTATGGTGTATACATTGCTAAAGTAGTTTGAGAACACTTGAGCCTTACCAAAGTCGTCCTCCACGAGTGACGCAGCAGTACTGTCCACCCATAGAGCAGGAATATTTCCTCTTCTCTTTGTCCTTTGGTTTATATAAGAATACAAGTGTTTGGGACATTCTATGGATTCTTTAATTTTCTAGACTTACAGAGGGTCGAGGCACAGGTATTCCGGACTTTTCTATACTGGGATTTAGTTTCATCAGTCCTCAGTAACCTAAATCTATCCCACATTTTTCTTCTCTTACGGAGGAGAATGCGGACCTCCCTACTTAACCATGGTGGGGAGTTTCTCGGTCCCCTCGGTATAGTCCAAGGGATGTGGGGTGTGGTAACTTTTAAGTATGAATTTCGAAATGCATCCCAGGCCGTTTCAACTGAGGACTCTGTGTCTATTTTCCAATCTACTAACGATGCTGAGTGCATGATATCTGGTATATTTGCTTTCCAGACGTTAGGTCTGGATTGGGCTGACGCGTGCTCGTGACTGACAGTTATATGGAAGTCGAAAATAAAACTGCGTGATCACTTTTACCTAGGGGTGGCATGTAATGGAGGTTCACAACGTCATCCTCATAGTGAGTGAGTATCAGATTTAGTAAGGATAATTCAGTGTCCGGTCGTACATAGTCGCTTCTTTCACATGTTGCACTAGGGCATATATGATAACCGCATCAACCAGTTTCTGCTCGAAAGAATTATCTGACGATTCAGTTCGCAGATTTTCCCAGTCTATCATAGGTTCATTAAAGTCCCCTAGGATTAAATATCGACCACTTTGTGACCAAGTATTGAGACTGCTCAGCAGGACTTCATTTCCCTCACAGCTTGGACTGCGATAGATCAAATCAATCAGCTGCTCTTGTCCCTTGTATTTTGATACGTCTTGTCAATGTAACGCTATATACGATTCCTAAGCTATCTGGTAAACCGCAGACTAGAAATTCACAGCAACTTGAACACCAGAGAGAAGACACAAGAATGAGAGAAAATACTTTATATCAAGGTTCATTTTTGTACAGAAAATCAAGGGTATTTATAGATGTTGGCGTTTGTTAAATCAACATCATATTTCAGCCAATCCGTTAACGTCATATTATGCTACCGATCAATAATAGCACTCCACGCTGGAATTCTCGAACGTTCCATCGTACTCTGATTGGCTGGGATCCTTCGGCTCCTTTCGAGCCTCTGTAGGCTCCGTTGAAGTTCTCCGGAAGCCGACTCAACACATTTCAAGCGATGACTAACTAATTCACACGTCCCACTCTCATGGGATACAATATCTATAATGGCAAATCGGGTAGCATTCCTAATGAATAGAGCTACTTACCCTCCCTTACGCTTTTGTATTCTGTCGGCCCTTACTAACGTAAAACCCTCAAAATCAATTTCCATACAATCCATAGCCTGTGTCAGCCAGGTTTCTTTAACTGCGATTATGTCTGGCTTTGTAGAGTCAATCTGTACACCTAGTTCCGATCGCTTATTTAGTAAGCTCCGGGCATTAGTATAGCAGATCCGAAGCCTATTTAAGTGCCTTCGTGCTTCACCCAGAGTGGCTTCGGCATCATTCTCCGTCGAAGCCTTACAACCCGAAAATTTACAATTTTTAGGTCCTTTTCGCCAGCGTCCAACCTAAGTTGTAGTTCAGTTTCGGTTTCCCGTCGTTTTACACATTCTGCCAACGGTAAGTCCTTTCGTATAGAGACTCCTGAACCCTTTAATTTCTGTCCGTTCTATAAAATTAGGTCACGTTCGTTCGAAGAGTTGAATACTACTTTAGGCAGTCTGGAATGATTCAGTTTCAAATTCGCTAGACTCCCTAGTCTGTACACCTTTAGCAATGTGACCCCGTTGATATTTTGAGGCATGAGTTGATTAAGCAACTGCTTAATCAGCACAATGTCATGCTCAAAACGAGCTACAGGTTCAGCGCTCTCGCTCTCCTTGATTCTATGAAAAATAGCTGATCTGTCGATCTGATCAGCTTTCGATTTTACGACTACATTCGCGGGGTTAGGATTACCTTCTGTATCGCTACATTTTTCTTCCTTACAACCTGTACCCACTCGTCAACAGTGCTGGGAGAAGCAACAACAGTTGCGTCAATCCTAGTGTTGGATTCTGGAGGGTTGTCGACGACCTGACAGGTCAGGTTCTGTTTACCGCTTGAATGCGATCGAGCCTTGCGATTGCGGCTTCTAGGCGTTTCCTGTGGGACCCCATCTGAGAGACGGGGAACAGAAGAACCTACTTTCCTTGAGCTTTTGTTTAAGGCAGGCCCCTTCGGAGACTGCTATTCCTTCTTTGACCAGCGTGAGCCATCTACTGTCGAACTAACCTTAGTTTGCCTCATGTCGATTTGTGTGTCAACAGATCGAGTGCTGTTTGACGTGTTCCGACTACGCTTGCTAAAACACTTCTTTGCAGCATCAACCAGTGAGATGGCCCCTGTTAACAGGCTGTTTGTATTCGAACAGCACTGTTGACAAAGCCATACACAACCCTTCTTGCTGAACCGTTTGAAAGCCGCAGGCGTTAAGTTCGTGCAAACTTCAAGGTAACAGATTTTGCACTCGTCGCACTGCATGCCGCTTTCAACGGGATAACGACAACCGGACGTTGGCAACCGCTTTTTTTTACACTATTCGTTCATTTAAAAGGAGTACTAACAGATACAATTGAAAATGAGGTACTCAAGAGTACCAACGACAAAACGGTACTCTAGTCGAATACTTTAACTGAAATGAATTCAGTTAAAGTGAAAACAGTAGTCTTGAAGCGTAATAAACGATCAAAACAATGAAATTTACTCAGCGAGGAAAAATGTCACTGTTTTTTTAAATAGCGTTTCGTGGATCAGTGGAGTTGGTAAAGTCGAATAGCTAGATTACCAAACATATGGTATCATCAACGACCTGAAACCGTACCGCAATAACAAAAAGCGAGTGCAAAGGAATCATTAGTTTTATACCAGCTGATGTTTAAGATATTGGATATTGGATTAGGAACTAAAGCAATCTGCTCAAGGTCGTAGAAACGAAAGAGGATATGTGCTTTAAGGTAGCGTACGTAAGTTTATCATTTGTGGTGCAATGTTTTTGTCTGTATTTCTCAATGGCCATATGACTTACCATTTCATTCTATCTCTGTGATTTCATCTTGTGCTTCTTGTTCGAAATATTCCTTTTTCTTGTGGCTGCCTGTCTCGAACAAACACAGACATGAACATGCGTAAATCATGTAGTATAATACTTTACGGAGAATTGATTATTCCACTTATGTAGACCGTTCAACTAGAGAGTTGAGAAATAGCTGTAATGGTAAATAATCGGACACTTCGGGTCTTAGGTTATCGCTCGACAGTGTGCTATAGTTTTTATGTCATGGCTAACAATGACTTCTAAGTAATTGTATGTCTGGACAACGGGTAGCTGTCATTTACTGTGTGTGTCTGTACCTTGGTGATCAATGTGTATCACGATGCACTTGGAAGCGTTTATCGGGAACCGCTAAGTTTGAGACCATCCAGATAATTTATCCAGGCCATTTTGAAGTTCTAGGCTATCACCCTTACTTTTTATCTCTCTCCATATTTTGACATCATCAGCATACAGCAAGACCGGTGATGATAGGAAACGAGGAAGGTCATTTACATTTAAGAGGAATAGCACTGACCTCAAAACTGTACCTTGAGGTACTCCGCTAAGCACAGCTTCCCAGCTAGATAACTCGGAATTCACTCGTAATCTTTATTAGCGCCCAACTAGGAAGTATTTTGACCACATTAATGAATTGCATCCAACACTTTTTGCTTAACTTATATAACAGTTGGTTGTGAGAATCTTCGTCAAAAGCTTTGCTGAAATCAATGTAAGCTACGTCTACAGGTAACTTGTGGGCCTTAAAAGCGCATCAGCTTTCACGAGCGACCAATAAGTTAGTGAGACATGAATAACGTGTTCTAATGCCATGCTTTTTTTCAGAAAGAACCCGGCTTTTTCGAAATACTTAAACAGCTCCTTCCGAATAATCTTTCCTAAAATTTCAACCTCGCTTGTTAAGCTAACAGGTTAGTAGTTCTCAGGTTTATGTTTCGTACCTGTTTTGAGGGTAGTACGTACTATGGCGTTCTTCCAGTATTTTGGTAACCGACCCCGGGGTAAAGATAGATTAAAACATGCTTAAATTGGCGAGACTAATTCATGGACGAGCCGATCAGAAGCGTTTCAAAAACTTCAAGTTTACGGCACCAACTTCAGTGCTTGATGCTAACATATGATCGGTTTACAGCGAATTTTGTACAAAATGTGATAATTGAGCAGCTATAACAAATAAAACGGCGAGACTATAAGTTGTGGACGAATCGATCAGTTATAAGATGATGAATCTCGGATTTTAACGCGAAAGCCTTTCTTCCGTTTGGCTAAATAAATTTCTGGCATTATAGCTGATGTCAGTTCGTAATGAAGACTCCATATATAATTCATAACTAAGGCAAATTACGACAGTTATTGCGAACTGGATAATAAAAGCACCAGTAACACTGGCTGCAACCAGGTACTACAATATATACGGATGTTTGGAGAGCATAGACTCCTACGTAGGCTTGGTTATGTGCATCGTGTCGCTATCCACAAGTGGCGTTTTGTGCACTCAACAACCGGAGTGCACATAAACAATATTGGAGCTATGTGGTCGAGGCTGAAAGAGTTTTTGAGACTTTATCATGACTCCAGAGGCCGACTATTCTGTAGCCGTATGGATGATTTCCTCTACTGCATGCATTACTTTTTTATAACCTTTGAACCTCTTTCTAACCTCGATGAGTTTTTGAATCACGTACAGGAATTGTATCCACTTTATTCCCTTGGTTTTGTATAACATATTTTTACTCTATACTGACTGTTTGCTGATTGGCTAGTATTTCTCAGGGTCACTTAAGATTCGTCCAGATGTCGTCCATAAATTAGAGTCTCGCCGACTAAGTTTGCCAGTTCCTCTAGTAACCTAGGTTACATTTAATCAGATCCCGTGGATTTGTCTATGTCAAGCTTATTTAGCTTATAAGGGGATTATTGACAAAGTCAAAAAGCGACTCAAAAATAAACTGATCGACCCTTCCAAAGCCTAGATCAATCAATTTAGGCTTGACGTAATACTAGACACTACATAGTATCACTTCTAATCACCGTTAGCATTTTGCATTTATTTGTGACCAGTGTAGCGGTAAATAAATATTCTTGTATGTCTTTACTAGCTTTGCTGAACACCATAGCTGAGAACTCTTGGTCAACGATGCATGTCAGACTAATATTCGACATGTTTTTCTACGCATACCTTGCAACAACTAGTCAGCTCAGCTTAAAAACGTCTTGACATATAGACTATCTTCCAAATATGCCTTCGAACTCCTTCATCCATGACTTCTGGTTGGGCTGAGTTTAAGATCCTCAACTTACAGACAGCCGTGTTGTCGAACACTGAATATCCGTAACATCCTTAAGAGGATGACGTTTTTGGCAGTCCATTTTCGTATGGCTACCACTAAATTTAAACTCATATGTTTTTCCTTACTCCTGAAACCATTTATCACTCTACTTTCGCACTGTATTTCAAAGTTTCACTGGTCAATTTTCCGTAACTTTTTATCATTCTGTTTCAGTGATAAAATTCTGTACCTGTGCAATATGAAATAATAAAAATATCTTGTGAACCTGTACTATGATCTCGCCACAGTTTAAAAATAGAGCAGTAAGTTTTGATTTGATTGTCTTTTTTCTACTGTTTTTTTCATCCTAGACTGCTTGAAAGTGTTCAAATATCTCAAATGGTTTTTGAAAATACAACTGTCTAGATAAAAGAAACGTGGTTGTTTCAGTACATTTATAATCATTTGATCATATCATTTAATGAACTATTCGAAATGAATCACACTGATAATTCGCCGTCATCTTTATGCATCAGAGATGACGCCAGAAAATTAATAGACCCTAATAATTTAGTTGAATTGGCACACTACGTTGAAAGTGCCAATAGTTTTGTTAGTGCAAATGCATGTTCTCAACTTCGATTAATTGTTGAACAGATGCAACATTTAAAAGTATGTTATAACCCAGCAGATATCTGATTTTGCGTTTCTTTAGTCTCAGGCAAAGGCTATCATACAAAACGCCCATAGAGATACTTTGTTACATAAACTTCCCTGTAATTTCATAAAAAAACCCGGAAATGTTTATTATGTGTATGAGAAGCCAGATGCTAGCCAGTATTTTAGTCTGCTTTCACCCACGGTAAGTAAGCCTGTATATTTGCTAACCAATTGATTTCTAGGAGTGGGATGGCTGTCCACACAGATATATTGGAGCTTATAAACTTCTTTCTGATATGTCTTGGATTTCTGAAGACGATTTTGATAACTACGAATCTAATCGCAGAGCAGCACTCCAAATTATAGATAAACACCAGATAATGCTAGATTTTAAAAACATGACATAGTTATCCTTTTCTTTCTGCTTCATATATTCCTGACGTCAAAACAAAAGTTGTTGTTACCTACATCTCTTCAGTTCAAACAGGTTGCAATACCATAAAACAGAAGTTCTGTTTATCAGTAATTTTACAGTTTCGTAATGCGTTCTTTACATATTCATTTGACTCTTTTGGTTCACCTTAATGTTTAAGGTCTCCACTTTATTTCTCTCGATTTATTTGGTTATTTATTAGAATGTTTTCATTCTATACTATCTTTTGGCGCAGAATCTTCGCTTTATTATTTGCCCGTCGATTCTTCCCTTTCTATTGATATTCTCTGTATCCAATATTTGTTACTATTCCTTCTACAACAACTGCTTCCACTAATTTGGTATTCATGTCGGCAATTTTATCTCTGTCATAATATACTGTGACAGCTTGACCTGTCCATTTGTGCTGGGTGTATGACTGACCTACTCTATTATTAAGAATTATTCGGTAAAGTACATGTTTTAGAAAGAGGACAACTAATTCTAAATTAATATCCAAATGAATTATGTTCAAACGAAGTTTTTATGTATGCGATAAATTTATCTCATATTACAAATGACCAGAAATAAGATCGTTCTCACTAAATGTTGGTTAACCAATATATCTTTTTGATAGATTCTTTTTTACGGTTGCACGGAATCGGAAGGATAGAACTACTCCGTAATAGTTCGCTATATTCGTTTATTATAATAGAGGTGTACAATCTGTAAAAGGGGACACAGACCTGTCTGAAGTAGCAAAGCTTATCATATAAATGATCGATGGGCTCAACTATCACTAAACTAGGTTGCGAATTTAACTAATTTTTAAACAATATTTTGGGTTTGAAATATGATTTCTACATCATCATCGTTCTAACACTGTGCAGAAGAAGATTGCTGTCACTACTTTTACATGGTGAAATTGCCATAACCATGTCATGTAAAAATCTGGCTTATAAAAAATGGGACGTAATTTTTCCCCTCTCTATGCATATGTCTGTAATAAAGTTATATCAAAATAGATGAAATAGACGACCTTAGTAAGTACCGTTTAACCCTATCGCTTTTAAAGGGATTTAATATAAGCGACTGTAATCCGTCTTTTATTTCATCCAAAGTGTGTCCATAAAGGGACGCTCCGCTCACTATTGCAACAACGTTCGGTGATCGAGGAATTAAGCTGTTGAGATACGGTTTATGAATCCTCTTTTCTGCTTTCAAACTCTACCATACCTCCGTTAGTTACAAAAGACTCGTGTTTCAATTAGTGGGACCGTTAGATGCCTTGATATAGGTCCGAAAATTTAAACCTTAGTACATAGTCTTGTTCAGTTGCCGTACCGAAAGCTCAAATCCCCTGATCACAAATATAAAAAGCGAAGCCAGTTGGAAAGGTTGATAACAGAAACACGTTTTCGTGGATGACCAAAAGAATTTATAAGGGGCAGAATGAATTTCAGTTCTACTGGATATGTGCACAAGACTCAGTAAATCATATACAACATGTATACATGGCCCCAAGTTCATAGATATATGAAAATATCAAAACTTGCCAGAGTAGCAGAAATAGTAACACTATAAATAAACATAGCAAAAATTATGGATGCACTATATGGTCTGAGATGAAAAAATGGATCTATAGAATAGAGGGTATGTGGAAATTCAAAACACAATCTGAGGGTCAGTAAAGGGTAGATTCACCTTTTCCATTGAGATCAACTTCTAGCCTTATCACTTAACGTCTTCAATAATTGTTCAAACCCCAGCTATGTTGTTTTCCACCGACGTACATGGCTTATTCTAATAATCAGTGGCTTCATCTGCTGGTCTCCTTAGTTTATTCCCAGAATAAACGTCGTCATAGATTCAGGACTTCTTTCCACATTATGTATAGTTACTTCGTTGAGAAAAGGATTGATGGGATAACCTTGCTTAAATAGTGACCACAGTACAAATGGCAACTCGTAATACAAAAAGACTTTCGAAGTAAAGCAGTTAGGTGTATTGCTCATGATCAATATAATAAGCTGGTTCGAGAGGTCATGTGAAAGATTCATTGAAGTAGTTAGACTAAGGTAACACTGAGAAACAGTTTGAATGTGTACATATTTGCTGAACAACTGAAATAAAGGGCTTCAGCATTGTCGAATATACCTCCATATATTTGGTTGTGAACAGTTTTTTCCGTTTTCGTTCTCATTTTCCGTCTTCGTATTTTAGATCTTTATTAATAATATCACCGTAGTTTTGCCCGTTTCTCTTTTTGCTGTGTAACGTACTTAGATGGGATTTTGCGCTAGTTTCAGGTGGGTTCTTTCTCCAAGCAACTGATTTAAAGCAATATTGTCTAGTTTCTTGAGGAGGTGATTGGTGACATAGTAAATCAGATTGGAATAACTTCTTATTTGATTCGTACTGGTAGGAACAGCATTTTAGATGAAAGGAATGAGTTGTTATGATGAGCTGAACTCAATCTTTTGAGGAACAGAAATCAATTACTGAACACTAAATGGTTCTGATAAGTAACCAGTCCAGATGCTTTCTGAAAGCGTGATAGGAAATTCACTAAATGAACAAAAAATATCGTTAGCAAAAGGTGGTAAATCATTTGATTAGTGGCCAGAATCCTGACTTTCAAAAGTTTGTTATTGGTGAAAAGAAATCATCAGACGAGAGGGGAAGTATGAGGAATACGGATTAAAATTAGGATTTTTATAAACCTGGAAATATATCAGTATTTGGAGAAATTTTCAAGCCTGTTTGTACTAGGATTCTCTTAGACTCACCACATTATTTCGTATTCACGATTAGAATAGTATTTAGATTATTTACATCTATGACATCGTTTTTGAATGCAGAGGTTTGGATGGGTATATTCTTTATTTCGAAAAGAACAGTTATAACCATCTATTTACAGACTTCATAACAGTTTGTCTCTGCAATAAATTTGTCAAGTACGTACTATTACTGAATACTTCGTACGCAAAAACGTTTGCTAAACAACTCGTAATAAGCTTCATTATGCTGCCTCTATGAATCGAGGATTTTCTCTATCTGACTTCCAGAATCTGATTGCTTACATGTAAATTATCTTATATGATCTTACTTTTAAATAAGAACTTTCGTCTAAATTTGAACGAATAGTTTCACAATATTTGGGCGCCGAGTTAATGTTAGTCATTAAAGAGGAATAATATATATTTGTAAAATCTCAGCGAATAAATTTTAAGTAAATCCAACGTTTCACCTGGCAATCTGGTCCAAGCTTTTTCATATCTTCACCCCCCGCCAATTGTTAGAACACCGTCATACTTATCACAGACCAACAATCGTAGTGTTTCTTGACATCAGGGCTGCCTTCGATTCGTTGGACAGGACTGTTCTCTGGGATTGTCTATTGAAGAAGGGTGTGTCTGAGAAGTTTATTAACATCCTAAAAGCCCTATATACAAACACCTTAGGCAGAGTGAGGGCATACAACCACCTCTCTCAGTTGTTCTATTCGAGCAGTGGGGCTAGACAGGGTTGCCCAATCTCACCATTCCTCTCCAACTTTGCCATCGATGATATTCTAGAAACAGCTCTGATGGATGTAAGTAATGGTGGTGTGGGTCTGTTGCCCGGAGAAAGACTTCTCGATCTTGAGTATGCTTCTTTAACTGAAAGATTTCTTCTGATTGTACCTTCCCGTTTCCCCCATTATTACTATTATTATTCCACTACATTACACTAATCTGTTCGTTATTGTTCTTTTTTTCTCTTCGAATCCTCATCGTTTTGCATGACGCATATATACTTGGTGTCCTCTTGTACCAATATTTATGTGTTCAAATAAATATATAAAAAAAGTTAAGGTTTTTGTTATAGCTTGTCGTTTGAATGCGTATTGCCTTGGCTCTTTTAATGCTACTTTAGTATCTGATCGTCGCTGATTGTTATGTCGAAAACACGTATCACTTATACTCGGAACGAGGGACCTCTGCAATTCCCACGATGCGAAAGTGATGATTTATTAACCCCAAAACACTATGACGACAAACGATGATCAAAATAGTCTAAAATACACTGGTTCATATATGGATTTTACACCCATTTTGAGTAATAATTAGGATGAAATCACATATATGAAAATAACAAATCACAGACTGATTATAGTTCATGTCAATGGAATACAAGATTATCGTATAATAATACAGAATTAAATATCATGCGGCAAAAGAAAACAAATAATATAGTGAATGATCATCACATTGAATTAGAAGAGAAGTAATGTTGAACAAAGCTCATTATAAGTAAATCAATCAAAAAATTTACTTTTCTTCCCATCATATCAGTATTCATTAACAGTTGTCTACGCGAGATACTCAATATCCGTTGGCCGGATACTATCAGCAACAGCCTACTGTGAGATAGGACAACCCAGCTGATGAGGAGATCAGGAAAAGACGTTGGGAGTGGATAGGACACACACTGAGGAAATCACCAAACTGCAAGCCCTTATTTGAAATTCTGAAATGAAACGTAAAAGATGAAGGCCGAAGAACACACTACGTCGGGAATCGGAAGCAGACATGAAAAGGATTTCCCAGGACAGGGTTGGATGAGGAGTGCTTGTGCACGCCTGTACTCCTCCACGAGGGGTAACGCGCATAAGGAAGTAAGTGATGCCATCGCTGGTACGAATGAAGTTTATCCTTAATTCCTCTTTATATTGACTACTTTTCTGCATTATCCAAACGCATAAATCTAAAATGTATAACCTCCGTAATCCTACTATTAATTATTTGAAATTGGGAACCACTTATTCCTGAAATGCGTAGTAGGGTAATAGAATACTGTTGTAAATGAAGATTTATTGACTGTCCGAAGTGTACTTCGTTACTGTTGTAACTGCAAATATATCTTGATACTTCTCCTGGAAATTTGTGAGTCAGACGATGCAAGTTTAATCAAAAATGCGTGAGGATTTATTTAACAACCAAAATTTTTAAAAAATGAGTAACACTAATTAATAGTCAGATCTGTATGCATTAAACTAAGTAGTAACTGAAATTGATACACAAATATACATTAGCATAGAATTAAGCGCCTATAACCAACAGATATAACGGATATGATTATTCCTTAAAACGGGATAACATGTTGTAAACGACTGGAAAAGGAAGTCAACAACACATGTCAATCGTACTCAAATCAATTAAGTCTTTGCTTGTGATATCGGCTATT